TGATCAGCTTGCATTATACATATATAGTTAGTTACAAAGTATTATACATGTATCTGCGGTCTGTTTTGGTTTTTGTTTAGACTGCTTGTCAATATCATAATGTTGTATGTATGCATGGATAACCCCTGTTACCTACATAGCTACCAAGGTTCCGGATTTCCACTTCATGGATGAGCTTGCGTTAAATTCAATGTTTAAAATTCAGTGATCAGGTTGTTTATATATTCCACCCTCACTATTCATACGGAGGATTTAACTTTATATAGTGAGCAAAACCTTAAACTTGATATATAGATGAAGAGGTGTGTTTAGTCGCAGTGGATAACATGATATATATTGGTAACATGATGTTCGAATATACTCCACCTTGGAAAGTGAACACAGCATCCCAGTCAAGGTCACATCTGGTATGTTTCTCGTTTAACAGCATGATTACACTGCAGGGTAAAGAAAGGTCACAAAGAAACAGCCACTCTTTCAGCCATCACGAACCTTTTCAAAAACTCGGTGAGCAAGCATAATAAAGAACCCCAAAGAAAGAAACAGAAACCCTGCATCTCAAATCACATAAGACGCAGCAGACCGAGTTTGTTGAGATCATAACCAAAATCACAAAGTTTAGAGCGCGATCTTGCAGCCGGATGCAGGTACGTACCTGCGCCATCTATGCATAAAACTGCGGTGTTATTTCAGCCTCAGCCGTTCACCGCATCTCAACCATTACGCCCACGAGGTCACACAACATAAACTTGAAGTCTTGGCCTAGGAGTCAAAATTTGGATTGTTTGAATGTTGCCTGTATGATAGGTATCGAAGCTCGTACTGTCTGATGCTGAGAATATATTGCTGGGATATGTCTTTCATGTTTCTAAACAAGGTTATATCGATAATCTCGAGGTCCCAACTAGGCTGTGATCCAATATCAAACCTTTTTCCACGGCTATTACTATATGTCTGAAGATATATAGGTGAGACAAGAGAGACCCAACAAGGAAGTTACTCGATGCCACTTAGATCCAATAGAGGCTCTTTGTATACGATAGATACGGATACGTCCTCTCCCGTTAGTCAATCTGACTATATAGCATAGACATCGCTATTTGACACGTTCCACACTTTCTCGGATACCAACATTGATATTTCAAGACATCGACTCAGATCTTCCCCGCTCTTGCATTTGCAATTGCCCCCGTCAGGCTAACCGAGATACAGTACGATGCAAGCAATCCAAAGATTAGTGTCTTGCTGACTCTACATGCGAGTGAGCAACTCGTCTCCTATACGCGAGGAGTACGAGGAGACTAGATATTGTCGCACACGGAGAGATATCCCCAGGAGGAAATATCACGCCGAGGGATAATCCATCAAATCAACAAAGATACCACTGACATAACGCAGAAAGACATTTCACGTGTCTCATCACAGAAGCCATTGCTGATCCAGACTGCTTCCAAGCCTCGATCTAGCAAAGCTCCTACCTAAAATGGTTGCCTGAATGCCGGTCGGGCTTCTCAACCTCGGGAAACATTCTACACAGATCAGACAGACTAGATGTGACGATAGCACACTTCTCCGACGATCTCTTGTCAACCAGACGGGTCCCGCAGCACAATGGCTATACTTGTACAAAGTCCTTTGGGAGAACAACCGTGCATGCCCCACTACTTGGGCACGAGTCTGCTAGAACGTGATGTGCTCGTGTGCTATGCAGCTTGCTGATGAAAAAAAAACGAAAAGCGGAGCGAATAGCGGACCAGTAAGTTAAGCTAATGAACTACATACATATGTACGAAGTAGGGGTAGTTGATCTTTTTGCTGTGGGTAATATCGATGCGCCTTGAGACAAGCAAACAGTCTTACTGAGACCCGCGCGGGCTGGCCCGTCAAGTGTATCACCTTGTGAGGTTTATTGTGCGACTGGTTTTTACAGTATTTTTCTTTAAATAGTAAGAGAGACCAGAAGTTCAAAATAGGACCATAACCAAACAGGGTGTAAATTTGAGTCATCTCGATATATTGTTGTACTACAACATCCACGATCTATATACGCGACCGTAAAAAGTAGATCATCTCCATCAAATATATGAGATTCGGTCTAAGCAGCCTTCGTCCATGGTTCAAAGCCGACTTCGGCACGGACATTTCACCAATTGAAGAGGTATGGGCCGCTGATCGCATTTTGCCATTGCCCCTGATGTGATGATATGGAGGGGCTTGCATCGCCCTAACATGCTAGCCATCAATTGGACTCCACGAGGAGGCGTTCGGAGTATTTTTCTTTTTCGAATGATCTGCCAACACTGTTTAGTGGTTCTAGTTGGCTCGGTTGACTTGATAGCTTCGCTGACATACATTAGTCAAACATTAGTTATCAGGTACTAGTTAACTAGCAAGTTTATACTTCCCTAAGAAGGCAAAAGACTCCAGAACATGTGACGGCCGACCAATGCATGCTTAGGAGAAATAAGTATGCGTTTTGCGGATTGTAATGTCGACTGGCGACTGCAGAATCACCGAGTTCACGTCGCTCTGGCAATCTGTTGGTCGAGCTGCGGGAGGACGTGCGACGCAGTTGTGATGGGGAAAGGGAGAATGGCCTATGGATATTGTCATGGTCATAATTGTGTATTACAAGTTTCGATACCAAATGTCTTTCTCCAATTGCTCCAAGGTTGGATCGTGGGATATTATCATTATTCAATTTTGCGACTTGGATCATTGAACTATGATTGAGTGAGGATATTCGCCCAATTGTTTCAAAGAAAACTTGCCGATTAAACATTTAACTATGTATGTATTAATTAATGTATTCCACCTTAAAAAAAAAGTATTCACAAAAAAAGAATTAGATTCCGATGTTCACTTTAAGTCGAGGGGCAATCAAAACAAAAGTACCTAAAAATTTTCATCCGGCAAGGTACTCCGGTATCTCCCCTCACATTCTATTATTATGCCAGGTCTTGGACAAGAGCGGGTCTGCATCATAATTTCCCCGTCGCGTTAGGCAAGTTGAATTTAGCTAGGATTAAGTATGCTGTTGTATGCCTCACAAGATATGTAAGCATCGGGTAGCTTTGCGACAGTGTTCGACTTTTTCGTAACTCACCACAGCTCGCGTTTGTGGATCCTGTTTGCCAATTGCGAACCTGTTCCTATGATTATCGCCCCACGCGGGAGGGCAAAAGGAAAGATGGAGGGGGATCTCAGTGTGGTGCATACTGGTTGGTCTGGATGTCAATAATGAAGAGACCGGGGGGTCTAGACAAGGGGCATAGCAGGGATTTGATATTTGAGTATTTTACCCTTTTTTATGTGAGGTACGGGTTATCGAGGGATATATGTAGTTTGATTAATTTGCAATATGAAATTAAATCCTAACGGCCAGAATAAAAAAAAGAAGACTTTTTGGCTGCTGTCACTTTGGGGGCCGGTTGCTGCGCTGTCGATCCCATCCCGGAGACATATATTGGTGACAGGCACTTTTAATGATTGATCGAGTCCCCTGCAGGCTCTAGCACACACGGTCAATGCATTCAGACATGGGCTGACTTAAAAACCCCCACAGGATTTATTTTGTTATGGCAATATGATTGGTCTCAGATGGGAGGAGCTTTCAATTCTAAACAAATTAAATTCGAGAATTTTATTAGGAGAGTCTGGAACGAAAATACGCTCGGCAGATGCAAGGTGGATAGTCTTAAAAGACTAGAGTTGGTACGGAGTACATTTGAGAGATGTACCTTGGAGCCTGATTATTGGTATAAAGGGTACTTTGTGACTCAGTACCGATGGTAGGTGCCGAAGGCCTATTGTTCAAAGTACGGAGTTGACAGACCAAATTCTCGGGGAAAAAAGGGTTTTCTTGAATTTCCATTTCCATTTTTCTTTTTTTTTTTCTATTGCTTTTTACAACATAGATGATCCAAATCTTTGATATTAATCCGAACAAATAAAAAGATAGAAAAGAAAAGAATAAGTAACATCAGAGTTGAATGTATAAATTCCGAAAATACAAAAAAAAGAAAATACAAAAAAGTTACAAAAAAAAAGTGACAAAAAAACCTCAAAATTAAAAAAAGAATTGTAAATAACGTACTTCTGGTATGATACCCGTCATATTATATCCATCAGAGCACATTACAACTCCATACGGGCCCATTACCGGTGGAGCGTGGATCGACCCGATCGAGTCCTAGAAGATTCACCTTTGAACTCCAAAGCTATTAGTCCACTTAATTCCCTCTTTTTCCCTTCTCTCTCCCCTTTTGATTCAAAGCTCTCTTCATTTTCCAACTTCATTTGTATTTTGCTGCCGGTGGCAATTGGGAGCTATACTTAGCTATAATTAGCATTCTTTCCCTTATATCCCTTCCGCCCTTGCGTGACCTTGAATAGGGAATCCCTCTTTTGTCACTGCAATTTACGGTTTTACACCTTGCACCTTGCTGCGATCGATAGCACTTGCCTCCTTTTTCATAGGCATTTGCATTTCATAATCCATCGAGTCCATTCATCCCTTGAATATCGGGACCTCATACTCGTCATCCCTCCGGGACTTGGAGAATATTCCGAACTCCTTGAAAGGAAGTCTGTTTGGATTCTGTTTATAGTTCTTTTTTTTTTTTTTTTACTTGTTAATATTGTTTTCTGTGTTTGTATGTCTTCAAAGTTTCTAAATCCTTCCCCTCTCCTGGCATTCCAAGCCTTCAACCTCCTTGGAGCGCATTCCAAACATTCAATCCCTATACTCTCCATACTATCCTTCAGCCTTCAGCGCCAATTGACCTAGATCGTATAGGATCAATCCCAGCCTCTGACGATCCGATCCATCCCCTCCATCCCCTCCATCCTTGATTATTCAACGCCACTTTGCCTTCGATACTTGTCTTATTTCGTTAGAGTCACTGAACGATGTCCATTGCAACTATCGAATAAACGCCTTCGGTCAGTGACCTCAGCGGATTGGAGAAGAAATCATTCGGTTACGGAACTAGCAAGAGATGGAATCAATGAAGCCACACATCCCCCCATTGAAGATCTCGAAATCCAATTCCAATTTATCAGATTCGACCAACGACCCAAAATCTATACAAAATCGATTCTATTCCGCCTGGGGTTCATCAGAGATGACCCCTCCGTTAACACCACACGACACCCAGGACACAAATATGGAACAATTGGAGGCCCCGAGGCCTGTCTTTCACAACTATCTGCGCGCCTTCTACCCTTTCCACCCGGCCGGCAATGTCTCTCCGTCGACCGTTACACTCCCTCTGGACCAGGGAGATATCATTTTGGTACACTCCGTTCATACCAATGGCTGGGCCGATGGTACACTATTGGATTCTGGGAATCGAGGCTGGTTACCCACCAATTACTGTGAAGCATACGACCAATTACCTATGCGCCCCTTGTTGAAGGCCTTGACTGATTTCTGGGATATCATTCGAGGAGGATGCGGGTCATCACTAAGAGATTTTGGAAATCAAGATTTGATGAGAGGTCCTATCGCGGGCGTTCGGTTTTTACTGGTAAGTACCAACTAGAACCGAGAAAACACCACAGGGCTTATGATTTCGCAGGAAAAATCAGAATGTCTTACTCGAGAATCATCCCTGATAAGGAGATTCGATGGACTACGGAGAATTAGGAAGGCTTTACTATCGGATCTGTCTTCGCTGGTGAAAACTGCGAAGAAGTTCCAGGACGTTGCGAATGGGGTCCCGTCGGAAGATGAGGTCGAGGCCATTTTGGACGAGATGCTTCTTAAGGCTTTCAAGATTGTTACACGAGGAGTTCGATTCCTCGATGTGTGGAATGAGGAGGTTGGCCTGAGCAGGACTATCGCGGAGATGGATGGGCCCGGCGAGAGCCAAGGCCAGTACAGCCTGCCGCCCACCCCCGCATCCGAGAATTTCAATTTGGGCGAGGATGGGCCTGATCGGTCTGAGTCACGGATGCTGGAATCACGATTGGAATCACGGATGGAGTCGCGTCAGAGGAGCCATAGCCGTATGGATATGAGTCGGTCATCGATGCGCACTGAGATGGTTGACAGACCAGTTTCTGTCGCCACGAAGCGGGTTTCTATATCTCATCGCATGTCAGTCTCCGGTCCGTCTACTGCCATCGGTGCCCAGAATCTGGCATCAGAACGCCTCGGAACGACCTATGATGCGTTCCTCGGCGTGCTTGGCTCGTTTATTGGGCTCCACATGCAGTCCCGCTCCTCGACGGAGTTGGTTGTCACTACCCAGCAGGCCGTCCAGTCGTGCAGGCAATTGCTAAATGTCGTTGAGGTAGTGTGCGAGCATGACACACATCGTAGCGTGTTTCTCGAACAAGCACGGGAGTCAATGTGTGAGAGGCTATCCGAGCTTGTTCACGCTGCACGCGATGTGTTCCGCCCTGCACACCTACCAGACGATGATCTTGTGTTCATGCCAGATCAAGGGAAACGCCTTGTGGATGCTGCGACTGACTGTGTTAGAGCAGCCGGAAACTGTTTGGCGAAGGCTCGCCTGGTGCTTGAGCAAATTGGTGATCTTCAGCTTGACCCAGAAGAGCCCGAAGACAAGGGACAGGACTTGTCTGGAATTGACTCTGCACGAGATGAATCAGAGACTCCCGTAGAACCGGAGCGACAGCTGTCACTCCGCCTTCCCCCTCCTCCTCTTCAGATTCCCACCACCACATACTCTCCCCCAACACCTGCTCTCACCGACTCTACCACACCTTCATCCTTCCAGTCTCATCTCACAAATTCTCCCGCCAACAATAGCGCTCTTTCCTCCCTCCCCAACTCTGCCATCCTCCCCACCCACCTCGAGAACATCTCTTCCTTCTCCTCCACTGACAGTAGCTACCGTGAAAGTCATCCCAAGTCCGACGTGAGCGAATCATTTGGACGTGGGGTCACAAGCAACGGTAGCAGCTTCACATACAACCACCACGCACGTGACTCCGAGATGAGCGGTTTGTCGCAAACCTCAACTCGGGCTACCTCGCCGGATATTGGTGGTAGCTTCCAGGGTAGCTTCAAGGTTCACTCACTAAAGGAAAGTATGAGCTACTCGACCCTCGCCGAAGAAAACGAGGAGACCGAGGCCAACATCCTGGAAAAGACTTACGCACACGAGCTTATCTACAAGGAAGGTTCGGTCATGGGTGGCAGTCTCCGTGCTCTTATTGAGAAGCTGACGGCTCACCAATCCACCCCCGATGCCATGTTTGTCTCCACCTTCTACCTTACCTTCCGTCGCTTTGCCTCGCCTCTTGAATTCGCCGCGGCCCTTGCTGAGCGCTTCGAGTACATTGGCGAAACACCCCACGCAGCTGGACCCGTCCGTCTCCGTGTTTACAACATCTTCAAGGGCTGGCTCGAGTCCCACTGGCGCCACGATCGTGATAACACTGCCTTGGATTTTATTATCAACTTCGCCAACACACGACTTGTCGTTGATCTCCCCCACTGCTGGTAAGCGATTGCTTGAGTTGGCCACCAAGGTGTCCGCAGTTGGCGGCCCCCTTGTGCCTCGCTTGATTTCTTCCATGGGCAAGACCAACACTTCCATTGCCCAATACATTCACCCCGATACTCCTCTCCCTGCTCCAATCCTTGGCAAGAAGGAGCACAACTTGCTCAAGCAATGGAAGAACGGCGAAGCCTCAATAACCATTCTTGACTTCGACCCACTTGAGCTCGCCCGCCAGCTCACCATCAAGGAGTCGCGCATTTTCTGCTCGATCCTTCCTGAGGAACTCCTGGACACGGAATGGACCATAAAGACAGGCTCCTTGGCTGTGAATGTTCGCGCCATGTCGACTCTGTCGACTGACCTTGCCCACCTCGTCGCTGACTCTATTCTGTACCTGGAGGAGCCTAAGAAGCGTGCCGCTACCATAAAGCACTGGGTCAAGATTGCGAACAAATGCCTGGAATTGAACAACTACGACTCCCTGATGGCAATCATTTGCTCATTGAACTCGTCGATGATCTCTCGTCTGAAGAAGACCTGGGACATTGTATCGCAGAAGACCAAGACTGCCCTCGAGCAGCTCCGCAGCATCGTGGATGTGTCTCGCAACTACGCAGTGCTCCGTCAGCGCCTTCAGAACCACGTTCCCCCTTGCCTCCCATTCGTCGGTACCTACCTCACCGACCTCACTTTTGTCGACCATGGCAACCAATCTCTCCGCACCCTCTGCACCGACGACTGTGAAATGGCCGTCATCAACTTCGACAAGCACATGAAGACGGCTCGCATTATTAGCGAGCTCCAACGTTTCCAGATTCCTTACCGTCTTACCGAAGTCCCGGAGCTACAGGCCTGGATGCAGAATGAGCTCGTTCGTGTGCGCTCAAACGGTGAAACAACCGCGCAAACCTTCTACCGCCGCTCCCTGGTTCTTGAGCCTAGAGAACCCTCCCGCAGCGGAAATACCCTTCACTCCCAGACCTCCCAGCCCGAGTCAATTCCTTCCATGCTCGACAATGCCAAGGACAAGTTTGACTTCCTCTCGTGGACCAACCAGTCTAAGGCGAAATCCGTCACGACGCACGGATAAATCATTCTCTTCCCCTTACACCACCATCACCTATACCATCCTTCGCAACCTAATGACTGATGACATTTCTCATTTTCCGATTTACTGGTGTTCTAATCCACATCATTCGAGCCATTCGAACTATTCACTGTTCTAGTATGCATACCTGCATGTATCTTCTACACCCTTTTTATTTTATTTTTTTCTTTCTTTTTTTTTTCTTTGCTATCTGTGAATATTCCATCATTCTTCTTTACCTATTTACTTGTTTTTATTCTTGGGTGGTACTATTGTGTTTTGTTTTTGCGATTTCCCTTTCGGGAAATGCAGCATTTGAAAAGCGTCTATGTATGGAACGGGGCCTGGGATTACCCAAATGGAGTTTACCGAGGGCCTCGCTCTCTTGATGTGATTTGTTTAATTTCTTCCTCTGGTCACTTGTTTCGGCTGCGGGGGAAAAAGGACAGCTGCATTGGAAAAAAAAGATTGTTATCTGTCAACTGGGCGTTTCGTACATCGGATACCCTCTAGACAATATTTTTGCCTCACGGCCTCGGTACAGGAGTATCTCTTATTAAAAAGCTACCTGAAATACCAAATACGCTTTGATTTTAATACTTCCTAATTGTAAGTGTAACTCTTTTTGTCTATAATGATAATTTGTAGGTTTTCTCGGTGAAATACACCCAAGTGAGCCCGAGATATCCGACATCTTGGTGGTTGTAGCCAGCTGCGTGCATTAAGCCGCGACTGAAGAGATTATGTGGCAGACTGTTACTATTGGCACCTGAAATCATAGTCTACACTGGAATCTCCTCGGGTGGAACCAGATACTAAGCCACAGCTGGGGGCTTGTCTCTATCCGACTCCCCCACAATATTAGTGGATCCAGTATCCAACCTAAAGATCAATACATCTTCATTTCTTTTTATTTCTTCCAAAAGATTAAAAAAAAACCATTTGGCCTAACCCCGTTTGTATCACAGGCGAGGGCCCCGAAGGGATAGCTCGAGCCCGTCTTCACCGGCTGGGAAGTAGATATTTACGGTGTGTTGTTAGCGAACCTTCAATCGCTCCTACCCCTATATGCCAGATGAGGCCAACGCCTCGTCCGTCGGTCGGGGCCAAGCGGGCCAAACGCCTGTTAGGAACTATTTTCTTAGAAGATCTCGCCCTTGGCTCGAACACACGCGCTCTACAATCCCAGTCAATCGGAAGGTGTCTCGCCTAGTAACCGTTTTCCGGTCTGACACCAACGGATGCTTGTTTCCACTGAGCTAAGTGGGGCTTGGGGTTGATGAACTACTCCGGATCTTCATGGTAACCGTGCTTTCTTTGTCTTTCTAGTGATCTGATTGGCTGGATTCGAGGTGGTCTTAATTAAGTGATCATGAAGCTATTCACAATCCCGAGGTCCACTTTTTCCATATTCCTTCTGAAGCTGTTCCCACCCTTTCTCGTCGTTCTTGATGCTATTCCTCGCTATCTGTCAGATTTATTAGTCTCTCGGTAGCTTCTACAACTCTCAAACAAATCAACCTCACATTGCACCATGCACTTCGACGTCCACAACGTACACCTCTCCGAACACTATCCTGTGAATATATTTATTGATACTTTGTCCGTGTTCTTTTGAAATCGCCATCCCTAAGACAGGTCATGCTAACAATTATTTGACAAAGGAGCGAATCGAGAAACCTGTTGCAGTCGGAATTTACGGACATAAGGTCCTCGTTCGGATATAACCCTATCACCGGTTGATTCGTCGCGCCACATAATTTAGAGAGAACTTGACAAAGAATGCTGTCACAAGAGTCCAACTCTTGTTTCTCGATATATAACATATACACCACCATTATTTTGGGTCTGATCCAAATCTAACTCCACACAGACTGTTTGAACCATCGTCATGGCAGGGTTATATGGCTTACTCTTCACAAACTTGACTTTACCACCCATATCGGTCATCGAAAACAAGACTATCCTCATCACCGGCTCCAATACCGGTCTCGGTCGAGAAGCTGCTCGCCATGCGCTTGCCCTGGGAGCCGGGACTATCATCATGGGCGTACGCATCCTGAGAAAAGGCGAGGAGGCGAAAGCCAACATTGAAGCAAGCACCGGCTGCACCGACAAGCAAAAGGTCCTCGTATGGCCTATCGATCTAGAGTCATTCGATAGTGTCCAAGCGTTCGCAACTAGAGCTCATAAGTACGTCTCAGATGGAGGCCGGCTGGATATGGCCATTATGAACGCTGGAATTGCCTCCGTCGAATACGCGACTACCAATGATGGATGGGAGAGAGGGATACAGACAAATGTACTATCGACTGCACTCCTCAGTCTGTTACTTTTGCCGCTGCTTCTGCGTACGAGGGACCGGGATCCCTCGGCCAGGCCTCATCTGGCTCTCCTCACTAGCGACATCCATAAGTCAATCAAGTTTCCCGAACGGTCTGCTGATTCCATTCTTTCTCTTCTGAACAGTGAGGAACAGTGGAAGAAATCGCAAGCTATGGGGGGAGCCACCGAGCGCTATGGTGTCACCAAGCTGATGGATCTCTTTATCACTATGCAAATCGCGGAATTGGTACCTCGCGATGGACTTGGGGAGCCGCTAGTGATTGTCAATGCTGTAACCCCCGGATTCTGCAAGTCGGATCTCCTGACTAGGGAGAAGGCACCGTGGATCCTGAAGCTAGTGCAGGCTTTGATTGCTAGGACGGTTGAGGATGGTAGCAAAACCCTACTGCATGCCGTAACGCAAGGGGCGGAGACTCATGGTAGGTGGTTGGAGAACCAGGTTATTACAGAGTAAGGCATCTGTTCGATTTAGGTGCTTGAAGCTCTAGCTACTGACATGCTCGTTAGTCCTGGTACCATTGTGACGAGCGATGAAGCGGCGGTCGTGAGGAACAAGGTATGGGCAGAGATTATTTCTGTCTTACGGGATGATGTTGATCCTGAGCTTCGAACTCAGTTCTGAGTACTCTGAGGTGATGAGTTTCTATGTCTCTATGGCCCAAAGCCGCTAACTTCGAAGGTTCTTACGGAACCTTACATATCTACTCCCCTATATTGTAATCACTTGCTTCTTTTTAGGTAACTCAGGGATTAATATTGAAAGCTAAATCCATCAACCTCTTCCAAGTTTCCATGCCTCCTTCTGCTACATTATCAGCTACATGACTAGGCGGTTGAACCACGGATTACTTTCCACAACGCAAATACTATAGCCGACTCGACATCACGAACAGAGCACCAACTCCACAGTTCTCTCCATTTCGTATCTCTGCTCATCAGGTGCTTGCCAATTTATTGTCTCATTTGGATATTGAATTGGTCCCACTAGCAGCTTGATCTGAAGCTGCCCATAAGGCTTATCCGTCGACGATCGGGACATTTGAACGTTCGCCACACTTCTTAGCACCAATGGGAAACCAGTAAACAGAACACCAACCTCAGTGGAGCTTTCTGACATTGGCAATTGACGGAAGAAATACAATGTGTGGTTATGCATAAGAAAGAGAGGACCGCTGTATCGCCACTTTGCAGTCAAGCTCATAGATCCTATTCGTGGTCGACTTCGGCATCGTGTTTGAGAGCCGCGAGCGAATCAAAAGTAAAGCAAGTAAAGGAAATAAGATTCTTGGAATAAGTACGTTCTAAAAGAGGAGTTTTAGTTTGACTTCTCCACAAGATATGTGGTTTTTATGTGATTCATGTAAAGATTATCATTGAAGGTTGTCATACCAGACCATACATCTATGTAACTATCCAGTTTTGTACTATTGTGTATTAATGATCTGCATATTATACCGTAAGACATTGCCACTCAAGAATGTATAAACCAGTCAATGAGATTCAATTTTATCTCTACTTCTATCAGTGGCTGGCTGATCCATCCTTGCATGGACCCCGCCGCCAGCCTCGAAGTCTGCGGAGGATTTTCTTCATATTCTACAATACATATCATGCAAGGGATATGATATATGTCTAGAAGGCCTCAATCCAATTGTATAATTCATACAACAGACCGCTGTCATTGAATTGACGCATTTGGATAATGCGACTGCCTATACTCTAAGCGCCAAACCCATGCAAGTCTAGGACAAATTGAAATCTTTCGATGTCCTGCACGATCTATCTGGTTGATGCAGATCCATGTAATGCAAGAATATGAAGTCCATTAGGCTTACGGAGTACTCCGTACAGAGCATTCGAGCTGCACCTCGCTAAATGTCACCACATCACATCTAGGCTTGACCCAAACAATCAAGAGGTCGTTTATTTGACTGTTTCATTTGTTCTACAATGTATTGAAAACATAACGTTGTACGTATTCTGTTTGTTAATTTGAGGGTGGAGGGTAAATGTGACCGGTCATGGCGGGTGAAACCTTCAAAAGCGGTTTGAGCACCCATGTTAAGAGGTCAGAGTGGACGGCAGGGATTTCATGCCAATTAATTTGAGGGTCTGGACCTATATTGTATGGATTCTAAGAAGAAGCAAGCGAAACAAAACCCATTCTAGTGTTACTGAGTCTGTGTCTACAAAACCGAAGAATCAACTAGAGAATTCACGGAATGACTGCCAAAGCCAAGTGATATATATGGGCGTGAGTTGAGTACTTGGTAACACTTGATAGATGTATATCACCTAATGTACACATTTCCACCCCGTTGCCACGCGTTTCCCTTTGCTGGAAGCCTCAAAATTCCTATACGAGAACCTTCCAAGCTTGGAACTAAACCAACTATGTTACATAACGTGTTTTGAACGCCTCCACGAAATTCAAACTCATGTCGTCGCTATCATCATAGGCGGATGCTCTGATATCCAAGTCTAGCGGCAATGAAGCAGCTGTCTCAGGTAGGGATCGTAAATCAAGTATAGGGACCATTGAAGGGCGGCCATGGGCGCATTGAAACGGGAAAGCACAACGGGCCAGCCTGGAGACCAAGGCCTGACACTCTTCGATGTTCAACAGGTCATTGAACATGATAGCAGTTCGACAGGCGCGGGAATTAAGAAGGTCCACAATGCCTTGAGGGCATCCATTCATCTGTTGAACCCATGAGCGCGAGGCGGATGATGCCGAGGTTCCTTTGTGTACCGCATCATCGTCGTCTGATAGTTCGAAATCCTGATCCGCGTCTTCAGTTTCAAATGTTTTCTTCGACTGGAACGGCTTTCTGCCATCTTCCTCATTTGACCAGATCTCGCACCTCATCAAATCAATTAGCACATGATGCTCGAGTCGACAGCGTTCGGCTATTAAGACAGGAAGAGTATGCACGGTGATCAAAACAGTAGAGTTGGTCTTGCCATGTGTGACATACTCAATACCCCAGTCTGAAAAGAGACCCGCATATTTTCGAAAGAGATCACCCTCTGTCGACGAAACTTCAAATGCCAAAGAACCGACTTGGACAGTCCGCACTCGAACACTCGACTCCGAATTCTCACCAAGTCTAGCAGATAGGAACATTTCCCTGAACAACAGTTCAATTCGACATCGCTCATCGGCAGCGTGCTGATCGATTAAGAGTAGAACATCGTTCGATGTTCCCTCCGAATTGAGAATGACGGGGCGTTTACGGACTTTAGCCAATATGAACTTTTTGTCTACCTGCGCTATCACTTCGGCAGTCTCGAGCGCACGACGTTGAAGCTTTCCTCGATATTTGGCAACCTGCGCTGTATAAAGCGATCCAATACCCTTGAAGCAATCGTGCGAAGAAGAAGTTATAGTCTGGTGACAAGCAGACTCTGCGCCTAGATTTGGTATTGGAATTTCTGTCCGGCTGAAGGAAGGATTGTCCCATTCTCCCAACAGGTTTTCTATCCAGAAAGTTTGAGCTGGATGCTTGGACGAGGAATCGGCACAATCGGTGGGGGAACGCTGGGTTGCTAATGACTTCCGGGAGTTCATCGTTTGGCCTGTTCGAGGATTGATCATATAGGCCAACTTGGTGTGTGGATCGATCCAGGTGATCATCTTGTCTGATGGTGAGTCTCCAGCTAGATCCTCTGTTCTGGTCCTGCCCTCATCAGAGACAATGTTAAGTGGGGGCTTCGGAAGTATTGTGTGCCCCTGGCCATCATTTCGATTATCTGGACTATGCTTAGGGAGGATCGGCAAGGAACTCTCGCCCTCCATTATATCAGGAGCCGCATGAGAACGCCGGGGCGGTCGATGGGTCGGGGAATGTCCTTTGAGATCTTTAGCGGTTTTCACCCTGGACCAGTTGGCGAAGCTTTGACCAGAGTTTAGAGACTGGGCTCTTGGGAATGAGGGAATTTTCAAACGACCGCTAAACGCCTCTTCGGTACTTGAAAGCGACCGACTTTGTTGTAGGGGCCCACGAGAACTGCTAGCTGTTTTGGAAACTCTGGAATGGAGACTCTGATTTTGGTCTGATAGCTTGGTCTGCTGTTTGCCGTTACGAGGACGGAGATTGTGTTGCTTCAAAAATTCATAGACCATGGACCCAAGCACATCAACTATACGTTGAACCGATTTGGCCGATTCTGGGAGATGATCAGATCCATCATCATCTAACCGTATAACAGTGCTTGTATCAATGCGGATGTAAAACATTGGCCACTTATTGACGGGCTTTGCCCAGCTTCGAGTGCTTGCGTTACTCGGGGCATCAAGTTGTTTCACCGAAGATGTAGGATGTGGAATGGAGCTTCTGCTAGATTTGTCTCCAACATTACGGAAATCCGATAAAGCAAATAGTCGATTCACTTCGTCGTACAGAACATTCGAGCTGTTGCGCGATAGCACGGGTTCTTTCCCCAAAGAGATGAACTGAACTTTCCGTGTTGGGCTGGGTTGGAGAGATATTGCTCCCCGAATTGTAAGGTCAGAAACTGATGCTGAAATTTCGTGCCAATCGTCGAAGTTTTGGAGGGTGATCAGCCCAGATTGTGTGAGAATTAACCCTATACGTTTGAGATCAAACTCCCCCTGGGCATGAGCGAGGCGCGCCTCAGACGCGAAGGCAGTTCCAAGACGGATGGATGTCCGTTTGTTTCTTTCCATATCAAGCAATACTAATTTTGAGAATTGAGGATTGGCCAAAAGGAGAGACACCAAGGAGTTCCTTAGATGATCCCACTCTCGTTCTAGCTCGTCCGGCCGCTGAAGAGTGAGGGCTCTACTTTTGACGCGAACCGGCATGTTCCCAAAAAGATCATTGACAGTCACAGACGTTCCATGACCGGCAGAGCGAAGCACCTGGTGTGGCGGTGCAGGGGTTAGCCGAGCAACAGGCGTCGAATGATGAAGGATGATTGAGTTTGTGCATTCATGACGAATGTGACGAGATGTCACAGTAAGCAGAGACAACGAGGCCAGGGAAGCCAGGAATAAGCCCCGATGCCCATACAAGCCACTCAGCTTGAATTTGGATGTATCTATTTCATATGTTAGCCAGCATACATTACAACCTCAAAGTTGGGAGACATGCGGTGAGCCTTGCCCAGCCCTCCTGCAACCTCGAACTCGATCGGAGGAATTCCATCGCCATCATCTTCAACTATACAGCCACCACGTTTGAAATCGACAGTGACGAAGACGGTATGTGCATTGGCATCCAAAGAATTTTTGACTAGCTCCAAAATGACACCAGTCAAATGCACAATGGATGTAGATGATTTGATCTTTGCAATCACATCAGAAGGTAGCGCTCGTATAATTGACTGAGGAGGCATTGACGCAGTTGGTGGTGTCCACCTGGAGCATTGCGCCACTTGGTGCGAGAAGAAAGACCCCAAAATTGATTTTGGACGCACAACTGTGCTTCAATCATAATCATCTGTCATTTTTGCCGTCAGAGCCCTTTTAAGATGTACCCAGTCAATCATTCACAGAAGCATAAAACGCCCAGAATACTGAGAATATGTCAAGTAGAAGTTGAAAGAGGCAATATTGAAGGCAGGCACATGACGTGTACGGATAAACAGTCTCCCCGCCCGCTGCCCCATCTGCCTCGGCGCGGCTCAATCTCCAAGGCACTACTCCCTTGCCTACCTTTGACTTTTCGCAAGCCAGAGTGGGTGGTAACTAGGCTACCTCATCAAGCTAGAATGGCTACTGCTGATGGTCCTGCTAGGGTGCATGGTAAGTACACATTGTGCCCGTTGGTCACCCTGAACCGATGCTAAGGGATTCATACAAAACAGACCGGAATGCACGTCGCCGTCCATTTTCGAACTGGGTGAAACGCCTGGCGAACCTGAAGAGTTCTTCTGACTCCACGACAAATCGATGGTCCAACAAGCGCTACACGAGCAATAAGGGAAAGAAGAGCGATCAAGAAAACAATCCATACCCGCTCTCTGGAACCATCAACCGTGACACAGGGACTCAGACACCGACTGATTCATACACGGATGATCATTATGCAGAATCTCGCTCCAGAAGCGACCCATCTTTGGGTTCGGGCTATGAGAACCCGGCTCCCCTGACGAGCGCGAAATCCGCTGCGCCAACCATTTCAACCAACGGCGACGCCGCATTCTCCGAAACAGCTTATTCCAAGGCAGGCACATTAACGACTGGCACTGAAGGATTTAGCACACATGGAGGAGGCGAAGGTAGCACCTTCTCGTCGCCTGCACCTTCGATTCGATCGATGACCACTACCCTGACCACTGTGCACTCGGCAGCACCCTCCACCCAACTGTACAACGCGCAAAACACCAACAATGGACACCACCATGGCAGCTCGACACAGAGCTCCTCAAACCAACAAATTCAATTCTCCCACCAATTTCCTTCAACCTCACCTGCCACCGCGGTCCCCTCGCACCTGGTGCCCCAGAACCATGCAATGACGTACAGTGCCGCAACCGCAAACAATGCCTTGACGGATAACGCTTCTCTTCTCACTTTGGCGAGCTCGTCTAAGCGTCGTCGTCGTAACTCCCTGGACACCAACGCATCTGTACGCGGATTGGCTCCATCTTCTGTCTTCGGCGGTAGTCGGGAGAGCCTGCCGCTGAGTGTTCTGAGTGGGAACACGACTGAAGCATCCAATACCTCTGTGTTTAATGCATCGGGGGTGCTGAGCCGACCAAGTATTGTTGGCCTTGCTAGTGCCGAACGCATCAGTGTCTACTCGGCCTCCGGAGCAGTCCCGCTAGCCAGCACCACTGCGGAGCGGGGCGGCTTGTACACCACCAAGCAAACCGTCAGCGGCGACACAGCCAGTACTCGCAGCGGTGTTCAATCGCACAGTCGAAATGACAGTACGGCCGCTAGCATCGCCGGGGGTATCAGCAGCCCATTGGCCATGGCTGGTCGCATGAGTCGAAGAAGTTCTGGTTGGGGAGAAATTACCGGCGAGGAAGGCAATGACGGAAAGCCAGTCGAGAAAAACGAGGACGAAGCGGCGACTAAAGATGCAACCGCCTTGCCCGTTGAGCAGCTCAAGACATGATTCCACCTCACACGTACCGGCACACCTTTACCAATCACGAACGGGGAGGTGTGTTTGAATGAAGTTATGCCTGGGGAATCCGGAAGATTGAGCGAAGCAACAGCGATTCTTTACTACATAATGACTTGATGCATGGAAACCTTTCAATGACCTGGATATTTTTAATTGTTTGGCGGCGTTTTATAGGCTGGCACTTTGATACCCTATGCGGTATGGACAAATTCGTTTCTATTCAATCCATATTGCATGCAACTTCGGATCTTTCGTGTATTCATTAGATCTTTCCTAGATTCGGCTCCGGTTGATTACCTTTTACGTGTACATCCATGGATCCTCGTCGTAATTATCCATCAACCCCTAGCTGTCAAGACCAATTGGCTCACGAACACCATTTCACCGGCACCGAATGACCATGGGCATATCGTACTGATACACGAACCAAACATTTTGGTGCTTTCATTCGTGTTTGGGATCCACTAGTTGGACCTATATCGTCCCGAAAGATAGATAAGTCGACAGTATCTTTCATCTTTGCCCTGCAACCAGCAATCCGGATTGAAGTCATCGGCATCATCCCGGTTTGTCACAAAGAGGTTGATCCCGGGCTTGGTGCATGCAGGGAGAGAATCCACCCTCTGGAACGCTCAAAGATCATGGCAATACCGGGGTTGACGCGCAGAGCTTCACGAGTGACTGTAATTAGGTAGCCTTTTAGGACAGGTCATGCAAGCTGGGCATGGTATTGTCGACCTGACAGATCCACTGCCATGGTAAGCGAGTCTATTCACAATAAATTGTTCAGTTTGGGAAGCCCCTCAACTACTAAACCGATCGATTGGATATTTTTAGACTCGGTTATGGGACTCAGTTATGGTACATAAGCTCCACTGGCTATGACAATCATTGACTTTTTTTTAACCTCACCCCATGGTATTTTATATTTTCGTGATGGTCAGTCTAGTTTGGTAAATTCCGAATATTACATCCATGTTGACAATGCTTAAATCACCAGGAGTCCCATTTGCTCGATAGTAATCATCTGTGGCATTCCTACATCCGAGGGAGTTGAATATTTAAGCTTACGGGTATACCTCGGGCTGATTTTCTGCGCAGCATTGACAAACGCCGAGATTGTCGTCTAGCCGGGGTACACCTCCCTCGAGAGCCAGGCTCCTACGATGCAGGATGAGTATCGCCGCAAATGGTCTTTTTCTTTATAGTAGAGATACCACTAAAACACGCCAAATATATTCTTATCGCCCCCAAAGGGCAAATAATACAAGCGAAAAAGAAATAAAGCAAGACAAACAAAGCATCAAACGAAAAAGGTCCGTCAAACATCGAAGAAACCATTATTCAAGGACTAAGGGCTTTGTTCAGCAATATCTCGAAGATGGCTTCCTCCATAATTGCTGTGAATCTGCAGTACATTAGTACACAACATTATCAATCGAAAAAGGAACCAAATAGTCACCCCTGACACTTGATATTAGGCCTCATGGCATTTTCCAGTGTTTTCAATCTCTCGCGCGTCAATCGTGGAAAGTTCTCATGGTCCCTTATCCTGTTCCACGCCTGGACAGGCGTAATGTACCCATTCAAATCAAGCCTGTCCGCCATCTCAAAGAGCCTTTGAAAGACTTCCGCCGAAACCTGCCATCGCGAATCACTGTCGAGGGTTGGGGGTGCAAGTTGTAGCAGTGTGCCTTGCATTGACACAGCATGGCCCGTGGGATGTGCGCTTGAGATATGCGACAGACATGACCGTTCAAGTCCACAAATTCGTGAGCACAATGTCAGGAATATGGGTGGAGGATGTGGATACTTACGACAAGACAAAGTCGACTCCTGTTTGGAACCATTCCTCCTCGGAAAGCTCGTCCAGGTCTTTGTCTATGTCATCTTCGGGAGTTTCAGTCACGTTGGTTTGCCTGTTCTTGTCGCTATTGTTTCCCAATTGACCTGTAACAAACCTAAAGGACGAGGGGTTTGATATAGATGGTGGCCCTTTTTGACCCATCCTTGATGAGGGATGAATTGTGCTTCTCATGCTTGCAACATGCCTATGCGGGTTGCTGCAGTGGGAATTATATTACAGTTTGGAATCTTGACGCAAATAATCATTGCCCTCAAACACGGTTACTTTGGCCAGGTAGGACTTCGGGTTTGACAGCTCCTGTGGAAGGCTGCCTGCTGCGCAATAATCTCCCGGGGGTCCTGATGAACCTTTCGGAGCTCATCTGGTTCAAGGTTCCCACGAGAGGATTATATTACCGGGGAATGTCTCCTTTCAACAATTTAATAAACTCGTCATTTCTCTCGTTGCGCTTCCTGGGGGAATACGATGTCAGTAAGAGGTAAAGCAGAACTGGGACACCTATTACCTATTTGATTTGTCTCACTTGGCTCACACGGTTTGGCAGAAGTTGCTTTCAGGCCCTTTGTCTCATGATACAACCCTTTAGTACGACGATTTAATAGCATGCATGCACAGTTTGTAGAGTCATGTGTGAGGGCTGTTTGTAGTCATTGGGCCAGCTGAGCAATGTCTCGTCGACTTCCATGCAGTTGATTCATATCTGGTAAATCATACAAATGAGCATAAAGACTTCACAGAGTGTCGCAGTGTGACGTCTCGAATGGTACATAAGGAAATACCAAAACCCCCAAAATCCCGGCCAAAGCAACCGGCATTCTTACCTTAACCCCGGAAGTGGAACTCATATATATCATATTTCCACCTGTTAATTCTTGGCTGGACTGCAATATGCAACATGGCTAAACCTAAACCACCAGTTCTCTCTGACATTGAACCCCTCTCGTTGTACAGAGTCAGCTGGAACTAACTGCCGGCCTTCGGGACCATAGGGTAGCTATATCTGCGATAGCAGCCAACGCTGCATGAGCATTTTGTATCATCGCTTCGATTATATCAACAGCTTGGATATTTGGCCTATCAGTGCAAACTTAGGTTGCACTATCTAGACTTATTTGGCCAGATGTCCGTATACAACCATCACATATTGTCTAACCCGGCTTTTGTTCCGCCAGTCAAACTACCTTGCACATTTATATCGGCAACATAAAAGGGTAACGCCGTTCAGGATTCGTGGAACACTCGGTGAGTTTATTAGAGGGCTCATATCTATAAGCAAGCTCACTTCGACCGGTAACTTGCTGAATCCCATAATCTATATATGTACTTTATTTTTACAGTTTGCCTAGCTGGGTGCTGGGTTTCATCTTCATACTCATGATACAGTCTTCGTTATAACTACTCGCTAGATATATATACCATTCAAAATCAAAGTACACTACTCAATATTCACAAATTGAATTTATGTACTGACTAGCTTCAATTAATCACATCACTCTGGCAGGCTGCTTTCCCAGCAAGGTTATGTAGTTTATCACTGACGAACGTTCTATTGAATTCAACATGCATCTTAGGTTCTGTCAAGTTCAGTGTAGGCTTCCTCAGGATACTAATCGAAGACGTAGTAGTATACAGACTCAGACTTGCGCCTATCTTCAATGACAGGAACTAAGCCATCCAGGTTGATTGGTATGCTATGTCAGAGCCGTAGTCTAGGTATAAATTCGAACACTAACTGGGGAATTCAAGTTCGGTGAGATATATATTGACCTTACAAAGTCTGTTAATTTAAAGTGACATTATTGTTTTGAAATGGGATATGCCGAGCTGCCTCTCGATATTTTGGGCGCAATATTTGTGGTAGTCGCACCGAGTGAGATCCTGGAGGTGTGGACCGACTTTCTACCTGATCTTTCCTTGGGTAATTGTTCAAATGGCATCATGATCTGACTCAAATTTGAACTAAACTGGAGACTATTCCAATAATACACCTTTTCGAAGCCGAATTGGTTCTTAGTCAGAAAGTAGATATCTGTTTGCTCTAGCATGTTTCCTGTGGAAGTCAGTCTTTTAATCGAGACTCTTTCATTCCTGAGAATTGATTCTGACGAAATAGCCAACATGCTTTAAGGTGGACAGCGGTGCCGATATTGAGGTCGAGATCATGACGGAACTGTTTGGGACCAGACGTCGCGGATATGTGGATATTAAGAATGTCCAACAAGCAACTGATGTGCCTTGAATCGGGGTTGAGCAGCTTGGCTAGCCTTAAAGAGTATAAGTTAGGATAATTCGAATGTTAGCCCAAAGGATAGAGGAAAATGGCATGTTGCGGGAACTCGACAGCATCACGTTGTGGGATCTACATGTATGAAGTGTCTCCACACTAAGAAAATGATTCCACCCGCTAATATGTGTGCACATTGTATGCACATTGTATCCACCATTGAAACAAGAGTATTCATTATTGTATCGAGTTTGTGGTTCCTACTTAAGTCAAGAGAGTGAGTTAGCACCCCAAATTCTGCCAGCTAAATATCCACCAATAAAAGGCTAATGGGCAATAGGCGGTATGAGTAGCAGAAAATGTGTTAACATAAGTAACGCTAACTGCGTCAAGTCAGTTCGAATTGAATTTTAGAACCCTTGTAAGAGTCTGTGCTGGAGGATCAGCAAGGGCCTCATATATATGTATATCCCGTCTTAGGATGCTTGTATGACAAGGGTTCGAATAATCCCCTAATAGCTACTATACTAAGTAGAGTACAGTAAGATAAGACGAGTAAATTGAGGTATGTTGATGAATAATTCGGTGCGACTTCGGATAAACTAGGAATAACTTCAACTGAACACGAGCGGCGTTCCTCCAGTGCCTTCGATGCTGACCAAGCTGGTGAGGGTCTGCCAATCAACGGTTGCAGACCCCGGTTTCGGGGCCCGCTGTTTTAGGGTCCGGATTTTGTATGAGAGCCGCGTTTGTCGCTAGGTTTATTGGAAGTACTACTGCCTAGGAAATTGGATTGAGGAGTAATGTATTATACGTGATTCATGCAGTACTCATCTCATATCATACAGAGTACAGTATGTACCTTATATAGAAATACTGATACAACATAGTTAATTAACCGGATCATCGTGGGATTTCTAATCCAAAATGGGGAACGTGGAACCGAAGATTTAACCTCGGTGGACTCCGATTCTCGGCCTTCGATCGGATTTCTATCACGATTGTATAACCATTTGTATATACAACATAGAGCGTGGGAAGGAATAAAAAGGTAGAGTAAATTGGAAAAGATAAAGAACAATATTTAACAGTTATATAAGTATATAATTATTTCCAACGGAAACCAGATCCCCAGTGTACGGATCGGGAGGCAAATGAGGCAAATTGGGGGGATTAATCATCATCCACCCCTCCGGCCCCGGGCTTCCCCCACTGAACATTCAAAGAAAAAACCCACTTGTGGCCCCAACTTCTCTCTTCTCTCCGGCTTCGATCCATTTTACAACATCTTCAAAATCGCGATTCACACAAATCAAATTATCTAGCCACCTTACAACAGGTGCTTCAACATCCATCGCACTCGCGACGAATCCGCCCCACGCCGCATTCGGCATCTGAGTCACGTCTCTACCGTCTGCGCAACGCGCATTTCCACAAAGTCCATCGGCATCGAGAAAACCGGTTCCCGTCTTCGACCTCAACTGATCGTACCGGAAAATACGGGAAAGCCTTCATCATGGCCAACTACAATGGGCGTCGCATGCCCAACTTCTCGCAATACCTCGATGACTTGAACGCGATTCCCTCGCCGTATGACCAGGCTCAGCAGCAGCAACAGCAACAGCAGACCACCTTCAACGATGAGGACCTGGCTCTATTCACCAATACCGAGTTCTTCGAGTTCGACAAATTCACCGACTTTGGCGGTCTGCCTCCATTCTCGCCAGAAGACGAGAAGCACGAGGCCGTCTCAGATCAATCCGCGCACAATGCGGATCTGAAGTTCTTGGATTTCCTGAATAGTAAGTGTGGCTGATTTCGGTTCCTGTCTTTCGCGTCGCTGGTTGGGTAGTCGTGAGTCTGAGCTGCGCGGTTGTCCCCTGGTCACACCATACCCCGCGGACTTGTTCACAATTGTGTCCTTGAGACCAATGTCTACACCTTGCATATTGTTTCATTGGTTGCTTTACGAATTCGTCATTCATGCCTATTGCACGAGCGATGTCTTGGCTCGTATTTTTGGCGCTTCGTGCGCTTCCTACCCTCAATATCATCCCATGTCCTTGCACAGCTTTGACCTTCTTGGCTGGAAGATTTCAGCCCTGCAAGTCATCCTTCCCGTGGCCCTAGCAGGGTTTTCTTCCACTCAAATTCGACTTTGGTCGTTGGCGTGAATGATCCCCGTTATTACGCCATACCACGTGATCGACACCCCTGCTCAGACTTACTCTTCGGGAAACCGAAACCCACGATGTGGATATTGTTGGAAATTGAATCAATGCTAATGGGTTTACAGCTGAGGGTCTCAATGGCGTGTCCGATTACCAGCCCGACCTGACCGGCTCCAATGTTCAGGTGCCCATGCACAATGCCCACTATTCGGGGCTTCCCTCAGTTCCCAGTGGGCCTGTGGCTGTAAACCAGGCACCCATTCAGCCTGCGCCGATCAACACCGCCCCGAAGGTCGCCCTGGCCCCATCTGTTTCTATGTCGCCTTCTACTCCGATTACCGGCACCAAGCGCAAGAACTCGTCAAATTCCACCCAGGAGAACGCCGAGGAGGCTGGTCGCCATATGGCTGAGGAGGACAAGCGCCGTCGTAACACCGCTGCCAGTGCTCGCTTCCGTGTGAAGAAGAAGCAGCGTGAGGCTGCCCTCGAGCAGACAGTCAAGGAGACCACCGATAAGAACGATATCCTTGAGGCTCGCGTGTCTCAGCTCGAGCTTGAGAACCACTGGCTCCGTGGTCTGATCATGGAGAAGAACGGTGCCGACGAGCAGTCTGAGCAAGACATCTCCGATATGTTCAAGAAGTTCTTGGCCTCACAGAAGGCTGATGGCTCAAGTATTTCCGACCTGAAGCGCGGGGTGGGCACTACTGTATGACGCATTTCCCAATGCTAAAAGAAGAAAGAAGAAGAAAAAAAGTCGTCAAAAAACAAAAAAAAAGAAACCCCAGTCTTGTTTGATTGCCCTGCTACTCTGCTCTGCTGCTTCAGGTGGTGACTGTCCCGGGCTTTTCCCTGTTAGCTCCACCTCACTATCTTTGTTTTCTTGTTCATAGTGTTCTTTTTTTTTCCAGCGATGTTATTTTCTTATTTTCTAGCAGCTAGAGCTACTTCAGATTTTATCATCTGCAGGTTGAGGGGGTGGTGGGTGGATGAGTGATGTCTCTTCACGGCAGTTTCAAGGATTTAGATGCAAGTATTCATATGTTTCAGCCTGGTTTTACGCCTGTCCAACTCTACTAGAATATTGTATTAAAACCCAGCGCCAGATAACCCACCGCTTCAAGCTATATTTAACATTTATGTTGCACAAACTATTATGCATATGCATATGTGCCTAAGCTTGGCATTGGCAACCGGATAATCTACCCGGCAGGCTCCACCCAACTTTGTAGAATTCGACGAAGAGAATGGATCACCGTCTCCTCCCATCCCCAGAGACTATTAACACATGCTAAACTTCCTCAAACGCGCCCTGCGCAAACCACACACAAACCTGTACGGTCTAGACCATGCCGTCCTCAACATACAGCTCCCACTGCAGAGTATGTGGATGAACATGGGATACTGGGAGGTCAGTTAACCCAAGTAAAGACCGTTTAAACAACAGTCTCGCCAAGTTTACCATTTTTGAACCCACACTGACCCACTTCATAGTACACAAATGACTTCCCGGAAGCATGCCAAGCGCTCCTAGATCAGGTTCTGACGGCTGCAGTATCAACAGAGAAGGCATCCACCGTGAGAATCTTAGATGTCGGGTGTGGGTGTGGTGATCAGTCATTATACCTGACGAAGGTTTTAAATTGTTCGTCATCTACATCCCAGTCCGGTTCTGGGTCTCAAACTGGGACAGCAACCCCTGCTTCTGTCTCCAGTATTCCGTCTAGTATTCAACCATCAAAGTCAGGCCTGCGGTATCGCCATAGCAAGACAAACCTGCAATCTTCCTCTTTGCCATGTCTGGATTCCTACATCGGGATCACCCTGGAACCAGCACAGGCCGCGCTCGGCTCAAGCCGAATTCACAATATGCAGCGAGAGAGTGAGGACTTTATCCAGGCAGATATCTTTTGTGCAGACGCTGCAGTGCCCAGCTCTTGGACTGGAGAGTTGAAGAAATCAATCACAGCTCTTGAAGAATCCTCAAACAAACAAAATGAAAACAAAAACAAAAGCGAAAACGAAGACACCTCTACTTGGCTCCTGGCCCTGGACACGATATATCACTTCCGGCCCTCGCGCCTTCCTCTCTTGACCTATGCGCAGCACACCCTCAACGCCTCCTTCATGGCCTTCGACTTGATCCTATCTAATGATATAACCTGGTATGAAAAGATCCTCCTCCGATTGGTGTGCTGGGGAATGAACTCGCCATTCGAAAATTTCATTTCCGAGAAGGAATACGTGGAGCTACTTGTTACAGCTGGGTACAATCCTGCTTTTATTCAGATCCGCGATGTCTCACAGCACGTTTTTGGCGGGTTGGCGGGGTTCATTAAGCGCAGAGCGGAGGAGGCGAAGCCTTTTGGGATTAAATTAGGGAAATTCCGTGCGGTGAGGTTTGTTTTTGGATGGTGGGCTAAGGGGAGGGTTGTTAGGGGGTGTTGTTGTTGTTGCGAGGAAAGAGTGAGCGTTTCGATGGTCCTGTGGGCTGTCTCGTGTATCAGTATATATTAGATTAGCTGGGAGGGAATAATCAGGTCTCAACTCAAAAGGTGACCTACTTAGCCATGTCGTTTTCGTACGCCAATTCCGAATTCTCGTGATAATCAATGTTTCGCATTTGAGGCGCTCGAGGATGGAAAAAAAAGCTCCCATAGTAGAATATCGCTGGCACCCATTCATAAGGATATCCCCACTCTCCCAGTATCAAAAAGATCTTCATTATCACGAGACGCCAAACACTCCCGTAGTTCATACTGGCCCTGTAATAATGCATCTCGAATAGCATGCTGGTGCTTTCTGAATTGGATAGTGCCCGTCTGCATTCCTGCCGACACATCAAAGTGGAACTGGCGGTGTTCATATTTCATTTGTTCGGCGAATGTCCGCTGTTTTAGGGCGGGTACATAGGCGTAAAGATAGGAGATTTGGCAGGCCAAGTGAATCAACAACATAGCATCATCATCACCAGGAGAGTCCAGCCAGCTCTCAATCAGTGCATCAAGGAAACCTAGTAGGGGTGGGAATGACACATTCTCGTGTGAGTCTGTTGTCAACGGCGCATCGTCAGGTGAGTCGGCATTCAGAGGAAACTTCCACTCTTGAGCTGGAAGAAGAACAGTTGTTGTCTTGCTGCTTGGAAAAACGAGCCGCTTTTGTGGGAGTTCTACTTTTGCATTCCCGATTACATGTGGCCCTTGCGTGTCAAGAACCCATCCAGCCTTGACAAGTAATTCTGCTGCCTTGTCAAGGTCCATGACAAGGAGGTAGAGATCGAACTTCCATGTAGGAACACCATAATGGTGAAGAGTATCTTCGAACCAGATTACGTAGGGGGTTTGGTGGTCAGATAACACTTGACAAGGTTTATATCTTGTCACGGTGTCCGACTTGTGATGGGGCATGGTGGATGGGAAGTTCACAACGGTGACCTGCAGGGATTGGTCCAAGTGCGGAGGTTGTTCGGAGTAGTTGTCCTAGTTGTCTGATGTTGTAGATTTATGACAAAAAGCAAAAAGCGATGTCGTCAGGTCTCCAAAGGAAAGATTGATACGATACAAATAAACCCGACCCACGTGACTTGATGAGGCATCAGTTGAGGTGCTAACTACAGTTGTGCAGCATAGATGCCTAATCTCCACTGTAGCATTGAAGTGTCTAGTTATATGGTACGATGTATCTATGTACATCAAGTGTTAATATCATATCCGCTTGGTCATGATATATATTGTACTGATATAGTCCTTAAATATAGTCCTTAAATATAGTCCTATAGTCCTATAGTCCTATAGTCCTATAGTCCTATAGTCCTATAGTCCTTAATATAGTAACTTGGAAATGACAAGCGGTTGTGGCTTGATTCATAATGACGTAGTGAGGCGGTGGCTAGATGAACTCCGGAGCTGTCTGCTTCAATTAATTTCCGAGCTCCTGAAGAGAGAGGATTGAGGATTTACATAGTTGCCTACAACATAATATAATAATCAACTTGATTCAAGTGTTTTAAATTACTAATTGCTTGGGAAGTTGCTCATGCTAGTTAGTTAACTAACATCCGTTCTACCCGATAAGTTCGGCAGTTTGGCCTAAGCTGAAGCCGCTAAGTGCTACGTGGTGGGTCTAGACGATCATAGTTGCATTCGGCGCTCCTTTTTTTTTTGGTCAAGTTTTTATAAACAAATTTCCCGCTCTTGGATGGCCAAAAAAGCTTTTTTTTCCTCTTACAACATACATAATCCAGGCACCCGGTACCTTTCCGATCTTTCTGACAGACCCAACGGGGAAAAAAAGTGACTGCAGCCAAGAAGATCTGCAAGATCGGCCCCCGACTTTAACCTCCGAATCGATAAAGCGGTCACCATTGGCAATATGGCCGATCCTCTGCCTGAGGCCGAAGGGTCACATCTATCGAGCGAAAAGCCACGAACTTCAGCTGACATAGAGAGACAAACCACGTCAGCCTCTATTGGATCATCGACTGGCTCGAGTATCTCCTCGGCATATGACCCACAAGTGCATCGGCTGCAATCTCGGAACACAGAGCTGGACTTGGAACGTCACCGGACTGGAGCATCGAGAGCATTGAGTAGGACCGAGACGCAGCGCGCCCAACATGCGCTCACTGTCGGCGAGAGTCTTCGGTCACGACCGTCACGGGTACCACTGCCAGCTTTTGGTGGGGGCAAACCCTACCCTCCACCTCTCCCTGCGCGAGAGGATTACGTTGTGGAGTTCGATGGGCCTGATGACCCGTTATACCCGCTGAACTGGCCCTTGAAGAGGAAGTAAGTCGTTTCACCGTTGAGTTCCATATCGTACTGCGTATTCGATTATGCTCCTGTGCTAACATTTTTACTTCAGAACCTACATTAGTGCCATCCTTGCCTTCACCAGTATTTGCTCCACCTTCGATTCTGCTGTTTTCAGTGCTTCGTCCAATAATGTATCGAAATACTTCGGCGTCGGCCTCGAAGTCGCCGTTCTCTCCAGCTCTCTATACATCGTCGGCTACGCCTCAGGTCCCCTAATATGGGCTCCCCTATCCGAACTCCAGGGCCGTCGTATCCCCATCATCATCGCCATGTTCGGATTTGGCGTCTTCAACATCGCAGTAGCAGTCGCAAAAGACTTGCAGACACTCATGATTTGCCGGTTCTTCTGTGGTATCTTCGGCAGTTGCCCCTTGGCAGTTGTGGCTGCTGTTTTCTCTGATATCTGGGATAACCGCACCCGTGGTGTTGCCATTGCTATGTTCTCCTCGACGGTGTTCCTAGGTCCTCTCCTAGCACCTTTCATCGGAGGTTTCATTAACATGTCCTATCTTGGCTGGCGCTGGACCGCTTACATTCCCGCTTTCATGGGTTTCGCCGCTTTCCTGTTGAACGTTTTCTTCCTGAAGGAATCATACCCGCCTGTTGTCCTTGTGGGTAAGGCCTCAGAGCTGCGTCGCCGGACTAAGAACTGGGGAATCCATGCGAAGCAAGAGGAAATCGAGGTCGATCTTCGAGAACTGATCGTAAACAACTTTTCTCGCCCGCTTCGACTGCTGTTTAACGAACCTTTGATCCTAGCCGTCACCATCTACCTGAGTTTTATCTATGGGCTGCTTTACTGCTTCTTGACCGCCTATACCCTGGTCTTCCAGGGTGTTTACGGTATGAACGCCGGAGTTGGAGGTCTCCCACTCTTCGGCATGGTGGTCGGCCTATTCATCGCGGCAACTTACATCATCATCGCCAGCAAGGCCTACAACAAGAAACTCGACATGAATGGTGGTGTTCCCATCCCCGAGTGGCGTCTCCCGCCGGTGATAGTCGGTGGCGCTCTCTTCGCTGCTGGGCTCTTCTGGTTCGGATGGACTGGTTTCAATGGTACCATCCACTGGATCGTGCCCACCCTGAGTGGCCTATTTACTGGATTTGGCCTTCTGATCATCTTCATCCAATTGTTCAACTATCTGATTGACACATATCTTATGTTGTATGTCATACTCTCCGTTCCCACAACTCATGGTCTTATTCTAACATATTATACAGCGCCGCATCGGCTATCGCAGCAAACACATTCTGTCGCTCGATGGTGGCAGCTAGTTTCCCGCTTTTCTCACGCCAGATGTTCCAAGGAATGGGTATCCAGTACGCTTCTACGCTTCTCGGGTGCGTGGCAGCCGTCCTTGTTCCGATTCCCATTGGATTTTACTTCTTCGGTAAGAGGCTGAGGATGAAGAGCAAGTTCGCACCCTTTTATGAAGCTGTCCAGGAAGGACACGCGGCTGAGAATGCTGACGAACAGGCGGAGGAGGTTGTGCACCGGTAATGAACCTACAATTGCTTTGCTCTTGTAGATACATAATCGTATTCCCATTAGGGAAATGTAATTAATAAAAGTCAATATTTTAGCGTTCTTGTTTTGCATTTCTCAATGAAACAATCTTGATTCCAACATCTTCCCATTCTGAGTATGGCAGGAAAACTGCTCTGTCTATAGGTCTTTTCTCAACCTGTGTACATATGAGGGACGCGTACCTTGGAATCGATTTGGCTTAATTTATGTATGCCCTTTGTTATCCATTTTCATGGCAGATTGTTATGCAAAATGACATTTTAGTCGGGATCAAACAACGTTGGCATAGCTCCCATCGAAGGCAGCTGCTAATGATATTATATACAATGGCACTTAAGTAATGATTAGGTTTGCGTTCGACATATCTTATGTACTATTACTTCTTTTTCCCGTGTTTTCTCGTTCCGAACAAAAAGGCGCTAGGTTTTTCGCATTCATTCATTTGCACAGATTCGAAGAACTGCCTTTCTGGCTGGATCTGCCCGGGAAGGGGAGTTGGACCGGGAACATCACGAAACTCCACGTGGAGCGTGCTGCCATAAAAAGCGGACTTCATTATGTTCTTGATAAGCGTGGTAATGTCTTTAATGGTATGACTTTGGGTGTAACGTTGGACTTTGGAGGGGTTTTATAAGTGCCGACAAAAGTAGAACACAAACACGGTGACAAATGGTGTTGTCAGACCCCGTAAGTAGATCTCTATAAGTCTCCGAGCTTGGGTGACTGATCGTCGACCCAGGAATGTTTCAAAGAAGGAAGGTTGAATAATCAAATAAACTTCAACAGGCCCGTTATGTTTTGATCGAAACTCTACTAGGAGCGCGCACAATATAATACGTCATAACAACACGTATCAGGCTCCTAGGGGCAAGAAGAACCAACTCTCTTGTTCCTGGAATACTCCAATAAGCTCTCAGATAAATGACATCGACCTCTGAAAAGTCAAAATAGCCCTCAAAAGCAAGACTCAGCCCAAGACAGTTTCATGAGTCGGTTCCGTTTGATGGAGCGTCTAAGTGGATTACGATGATTCTTGGTAAAATATCGTAGGCCAAAAGGAATGTAAGCCGCAACGGCACCAGAAGATGGTATCATACATGATCATACCTTTTTATATAACCCTGAAATTACAGGTGTTCCAAATATCATCGCTTATTTGTCTCAACGCAGTGGCTGTGCAAGTTGGATGTGGCGTGAGGACGTGAACAAAAAGGGGAACCAAGTAAATGGCCCACAGACTCCGGACTATGGCACTTTAGTATATCATAGTAGAAGTCGTATGTTCATGATGCGTTTGTACAAATTATATATGCTGCGTATTATACTTCCAGGGATATATTGACATTTATAAATGGCCGAAATGAATATGCAGACGAGTCTCGTTATGTTCGTGACAGGTCGTTATGAAGAGGACTCTTTCATCCACGGCACCTCGACATCAAGGGCCTTGGCCACCTTTGTTGCGGAAGAGAGACAGCCCTCGAGTAGAACCATCCCGTCCCAGCACCAACCACCGACGAGCCAGACATTTCCATCTCCATTCCGCCAAAGCTGGCTCTTATCATTTCCAGACGTCTTCTGGCTGAAAATCTGGTTGACGATTTGTCTGCTGGTGGATGATCGCAAAACACGAGTGAATGTGGCAGTGTACAAGACCTTCTCGGGGTCAATCGGAGCGATGGGGTAAGTCGTAATGAGAGCGGATGACGGGTGTTCATGAATGGTCTCAGTCGCCGTAGCGTCCGAGCACATATGGAGGGGGTGAGGTGCTGATTCGCCGGGGTTCAAGGACACTTGCGCCCAGAGGGATTTGCTAGAATCCTGAATGCGAGAAAAGTCACGGTGCACAACGGATTGAACTGTCGTTGTGGGGACGGCCTCCATCGCGCTTCGGAGGGGCTGGAAAATAGCGCCAACTACGTCGGGAGTCACGGCAAGAACCACATGGTCAAATAACCGTGAGCTACTCTGGCCATCACGGGTATCTATCCAGCTCACTTGAACTTTTGTGCCGATATTCTCGACCGCTGTGACCTTCATGCCAAGTTTATACTTCAAGTCTTCGGACAGTTTTTTCTCGACATGCTGAACTCCACCAAGAACTGTGTAGTGCTTCTTACGGAATGTCCGTCTCCCGTAACCGACTAGATCAAGAGCGGGGAAATCCATCAACGCGTTGTGTGAGCAAGTTGCAACGCTCGCGAAGACCGGCAGGAAGTAGTTTTTCAGGTAGTAGCTGGGCAACATAATCCTCTCCACATATTGTCGCAGAGATTCCTCCGCGCCAGACGACTCCAGTGTTTTGGGTGGTACAAAGAAGCAGCAGGCCTTGAACCAATAATAGCATATTGCCAGATAGCACACTTCGATCAGCCACCCGGTCCATGATAAGCCGTCCGGACGGAGGGGAGGTAATTGGTGGTTATTGGAGGAATGCATGTAGTATGGGGAGGCTTGGTTTGTGGTATTCTCCGGCAGTGTGGACAGGGAATAAATAAAGCGTAGCGAGCCATATGGGATACCGAAATAATCGTACATGCGCTTGAGACTTTCATAGTATCCGTCGGCGAATGTGCGCATGGGAAGATCGAGGCGGTCGGGTTTTGCGCCTGGGGCATCCTGGTTGGTGAGGTTGTATGACGCGGAGTCGAGCGAAAGTTTGTCTTGCTGTGTGTTTTTGTTGGAGATTAGCTTTAGACTCGCGCATGCGGGATATTTTCTTTTTACCTTTTCGAATACTTCGACGTCGAATCTCCCCCGAGGATCGTTTCTGAGCATGTATGCGACCACTAACCCAGCCATGCCTGTGCCAATGACGGCAACATTTTTGCGTTCTTTCACCTCCATGGTCAAGGAGGGGAAGGTTGATTTACAGTTTCAGGAGAGGAAGAGCGTATATGGACATTTCCCCTATTGAGAGAGAAGGTGAAGGTATGAGAAATTCACTTAAATCAAAAGTTGACCATTGGAGATGTTTCAACATTTCAACCTTGGGCTTTACGGCAAAGTTAATCGTTGACCCACATTTTCGTGAGCTGGGGCCATGCCTCGGTTCAGCTTCTTGTGCATTATTAATCCATTTTATATATATACCATTTTGTATACGGAGTATATCAGCATATTATATGACAATCTCAAATAGCTAAATACCCTATGGATGGTATTATTGGGAGGAAAAGAGAGTAAAGAACACGAATGGCGGAATAAATTAGCGCCAAGCCTTGATATGACGAGCATAAGATTAGTATGCGGGAAATAGTGGCTAGTAGTTATAGCAGCCTATGTTGTACTTAAGTACTTAAGCTGTAGTGGGTTCTCTTGTCTTCTTTGTTGACTTTGAGAGTCTTCATGAAGCTTTTTAGGGAAACACATTCGTTTGGAGTTCAACTAGTTAACTAACTACATAGTTAATGGATGGATGGATCCATGGATGGATCAACGCCTAGATGACATAATCGGGTTGATCTCAATCCTTATCAACTTATCATCACGTGTGTACTTGTTGACGCGTGATTTCGATTATGGACTCGAGAAGAACTCGGACAAGGGGACAGATCAAGATATGGATCTAGAGCCATGCGCCTGCTATTGATATAAGACCACCTTGAACACCCCCAAGTATTGTGTCAATACCTTGTGAACTACGGCCATGGCGCGTCCTAAAGGAGTTCGCGCCCCGACAACAGCGAGTCTTCCAAATAACCTCCGCATTCCCTCATCGACTCCGTCCCTCACAAAATCCCTTGGAAAATTATCCAGACAAGCACTGCTGGACCTGGCCTTTACGTGGCTTGACGATCGCAACGTTGCCACTTTCCGACCATACCTACAGGCCGACGAAGAAGATAGTCCCGACAATGACGAAGCCCTCCCATACCCCGCAGGGGAGACAATCGAAGAAGTCCGCCAGGTATATGAAGACCTGCAGGACCGAAAGGGAGCAAAGCGCGAAGTTCTCGAACGAATCTTAGAAGGCGATTGGCGGCATGGAATCACACTGCGCCAGCTAGCCATGGCAGACCTCAGCTACATGGACGACCACCCCGCCAGCCTTCGATGGACCGCACTCAAGCTGAATCGTATTGATACCAAGCGCAAGAAATCCCAAGAACTGACACCCGCTGACTGGTCCGGTTCTGTACCGCGCATGCAAGCGGCAACATTTGTGCAAGGCCTCCAACGAGAAATCTCCCCATTGGTCAAGGCCCACTACCACCTCGCCCACTCGGCAACACTGCCGCTGACATTCCTACGTATATTCGTCGTCGACTCGCCATATCAATCCCCTAGACAGGCAGCCGAGATCTTCACTGACTCGTCTCGAGTCATCTACATCGCTTTCCCGGATAGTTGCCCTTACGTCTACACTTCCATAGCAGCATCCACCGGATCAAAAGCTGCTCCTTCGCCAGGCTCAGTGGCTACTGATACCAAAACTCTTCAGCGTCTGGTGCGCGATTCCATTCCCAAAGCTTTGTCTCGCCCACAGGAACGATTTTCTCTGCAGGCGACATCCCTGGCAGCAAAAAGTCTTCCTACACTCCTCGCCCTCCGAGGACCTGGCCGATCAACGGCATCAAATGGCGCCTTCAGCATCTTTGCAGACGCAGCCATTGAAGGAAGTCCGTTGGACCCCCGACCTTCCAATACAGTCTCACCTGAAGACCATATCCAAACGAGTCATTCCGGCCCAGCAGAAGGAAAGGAAAACACAAATGGCTCTGCGACAAAACGAAGATCCAGCGGTATTGATACAGGCCCCGTATCTCCAGATTCTAAGAAACGCCGCCTAGCCATCCACTCTCGATTTGGGACATTGGGGTCATCACTCGCCCCGGCACCGCTGGACCGTCTCGATATCCGACTTCTCGATACACCGGGTTCCAGTGAGGAGCAGGATGACGATGTCGATGATTCTACGTCTACGTTACCTGTCGTGTCACTCACTTTCTCCGGCTCCGACGTCATCGGCGGGATTCGCAAACTTGCTGAGCTAGGCATCGTTGACCCTGAGCGTATGCCGTCCTGGATGACTGGCGAGGAAGGTGTTAGTGTTGCGACTGTTCGACTCGGTCAACGGCTTCAAAAGGATATATAGAAGAGTATGTGCTCGGTGTTCTTGGATTTTGGGGAGTTGAGAATCTTGATGCTTTTATTTTGTTTCGGCCGTTGGGGCTTGGTGTGATACCCGGATTTGAGATCAATGGATCATTTTGTTGCTTTTCTGTCATTTTTGGCTTGAGTAGAAGTGAATTTGTAAGGTGTCCCAATCGAGTGTAGTAACAATTACCTAGGTAACTATACGTAAATTACACTCGACATTGAAGCTTGAGGAAAAAAAAAAGAGGTTAATTCATTTGGGTGTATCCAGCATAAAAATACTCTATCCCACACTAGCACTAGCACTGAACACCAGTATTTCTCCGATAAGAGAACACCACAACAAGAGACAATCCGCAACAGAACAGTTCGTCGATCTTGCATACATAGAGATGTATATGAAGGCTGGTCGAATATTTCAGCCCGAGAAGCACATTGTTAGCAGGAGTTCCTCTAAGAACCCGGAGGTCAAGAACATCATAGACTAGAAGTATAAATGCATACTAATCCACCCATGACCCATGGCATTTAGCGACTAGTTGTCGCCCACGTTCGGATATTTCAGTTTACTACGACGTTCCTCGGTTCCAACGGCCTTTCCGGTGGGGCGGGGAGTTTCGTGTTCATCGCCCTTCCAGGGGACTTTGCTATAATATGCCGACAGCTGTTATATTTCATCTTCTTAGGGCTCAGGCAAGTTGTCACCACTTACCAGTAGAGACAACGGACAACATCGTTGGACGCCTGCATAGCGGCCCTCCATTTCTCAAAGCAGGCCTGATGAAAATTACTGCCGCAGTCCTTACACCAAGTAGTTTTCTGGTTGGGCTTGAAGTCGCTGAAACAGATTGGGCATTCGCCCTCGACTGGTTTCCTGTCTCTGGTGGAAGCAAGGGAAGTCGTATCCAGTTTTCGCTTCGAGGATAGCGTAGCAAGCATCTTGCGTAGCTCCTGATTAAGCAAGTGGGTTAGGGATAGTGTAGACAGAATGATGCTTGGTTGGGGTTTGCAAGGACTCACAGATGGCAAAAATGACTTCTGGTACCTCAATTCCACAGGGACATCCATCGCGGATAGGACTTGACAGTATGTTAGCAAAGAATAGATTAGATATGTATCTGCTGAGTTGGTTGAGACTTACCAAAGCATATGTGCTTGCACTGCACCTTTCGGAATTTGACGTCCGGACAGTCACAGGTAGGCACTTCGTCAATGATGGTTCTGTAGATGTTGCCAGTCGACCCAACAACTTCAAATGATATTTTGGGAACATCCTTGGTTCCGCAGATACCGTGTCTAATCATATACATGCTAAAAGCAGCATTCATTAGCCAATCAAAGTATGCCATATTCGTCAACATTTACTTACGTTTCACTTTTAGTGCGTTGGTCTCTTTTTAAGAACCCATCGGGAGGTGAGTTTAGCCATGGAAGCGCGCGTTTCTCAGACATGAGTACTTGGAAGGTACTAGGTGGAGGGCGGTTTGCAAATTGGATAGGGTTCTTGGCTATAGGCTTGATACTAGGACCAGTAGGGTCGACAGTGGGCTCGACTTTGGTGTCGAAAATCTCAGGGAATGATGACAGCAGGAGAGCCTAGGAGAAGAGGAAGGTTTTAGATCCTTTGCATTGGCAGGAATTTCCAGACATGGGGTACTTCTGTGTGGGTATGAAAGATAGAATATCCAGGAAAGTGAATCATGGACAGAGCATGCATTGCAACATGCCTGTATTGCGATAAGCAAAATCTAGAGGGCTGTTTCAGACACGTGAAGTATCATATGACTTTGCATGAAGTCTTACGAAGACATGAATGGTGTTTGTTCCGGCTTTCGCTTTATTGTAAAAGAACGTTTATCGCAGTGGTCTGTACAGAAAGACACAGGAAAGACACGAGTTTATAGAGGGTGGCAAATCCATATCATGTATGTACGTAGATATGTGTATGTACCCAGCCCTAAAGATCTCTGGGATGCTCCTTCCCCATTAGGTAGTAGATGCTCTATTTCCCAGGAAAGTACGATGCTAATCAAGTACGCTACATATGCACCTAGGTACAGATTTAGAGCTCAATTCATTCAGCAGGCATCTATCTAGTTACATATGGCCAGTCAGTAAAACGAGAACAATTAATAAGTTTGAAGTCCCGGGTGGCATACGGTCGTATACTATTTGGGAAAGAACGGATGTTTGCACTGTTTGTTTGGGGTAGCTTCCCTATCGCTATCAGCTCGTGGAGAACTGTGGACTTGTCCCTCTTTCATCGACAAGATGACGCTATACTGCAAAGCCTAGCATTGCAGCCTAATTCTTTCCTTTATTTCCACTTTGTTTCCCTAGAACTTATATTCAAAGTCATTCTCTATGTCACGGCCACGGGCTCTATCGGGCGCTGATGCTCCGAAGGAACCACATTCGGTCTCTCTCAAAGGTGTGTGAATACAACCCATAGTTGGACTAGCAAGCTAATTATGGATTGATTAGTGTTGCGGTAATTCCAATTATCAATATCCGTTATATTGATGGCAGGTCCTGACTCTCAATACGCAGCCTTGCGCGACCGTCACTTTCTTATCAGCATCCCCTCCCAACGTCTAACACCATAATCTCCTCGAAAGCGTCATTAAGCTATCCGTCCGGCGACTCCGATGATCAATTCATATTAACGCCTCTTGTGAGACGGCTACCAAGCACCCCCAAGAAACTGTTCACTAACGCCAACAGCTTACTCTGCCTCCGTCCTTCGGAGCCGTTTACGTCGGAGAAACCTTCGGATGCACACTCAGCGCGAACAATGAGTTTCATGATGATGACAACGACAGACTCCTCACATCGGTGCGCATAGTAGCGGAAATGCAAACACCTTCGTCGGTCACGGCACTGGAGTTAGAGCCACCCAATGACTCTGCATCAACAGACGGGCTCAAGATCGGCGAGTCATTACAAAAGATTGTACGGTTTGATCTGAAAGAAGAAGGAAATCATATTCTAGCTGTCAGTGTCAGCTATACGGAGACAAAGATCGGTTCAGACTCGCAGGCGGCTAGTGGCCGGGTCAGGACCTTCCGAAAGTTATACCAATTTGTGGCACAACCATGCTTGAGCGTTCGGACCAAGGCGTCCGAACTTCCGCCGCTCGAGGTAAATAATAAGTCACTTGGTCCATACGGGAAAACGAGGCTACTCCGGTTTGCCCTAGAGGCACAACTGGAAAACGTGGGTGAGGGCGCGGTGGTAGTCAAGGTATGAATTTCCTATCAATCCCTAGCGAATGGGTGGATTTTCCACAGCGAATCGCAGCTGTACCTGAAATCCGGGCTGGGCCGGAAATTCTCAACGATTTGGCTAACGTCGGGGGATGGATAGCAAACGAAACTAAATCCCAAGCCACCGTTCCAATCCAAATCCATAAATTGGGACACCATGAACCCGGGCATGTCACCCGCGACACTGCCTACACTCAATCCACGGGATGTCCTACAGGTAGCGTTTTTGGTCGAACAAGAAGAGGGCCAGAGCGAGGGACTTGAGACACTCCAGAAGGACCTGCGACGGGACGGTCGTGCCACGCTGGGTCAGTTGTCAATTGAATGGCGCGGTGCTATGGGAGACAAGGGGTTCCTGACGACGGGCAACCTGATGAGCCGGAAACGCACCTGAAACTCGGTGTGCAACCAACCCACCGGATCGCTTCCGCTACTGTCTCACGGCATGGACGCCGATTTATTTTAGTGCATCCAGCCGCCGGGTTGCATGGAGGGCGCCGCAAGGGCGGTTTGTACACATTTCGAATGGCCCACTTACACAATATTACCATTGGCATTGGCAGCAGCGTCCTCAATTGGGATGTACAGTGTAATATATTGGGCTCCGAATATACCCACACAATCTATGTAGGCCTGACTCACTGCCTGAGGCTCTGGAATGGAGTCCGGTGCATTGGCCTAGTACGGAGCGCAAACCAGCCCATGCAGCCGACGCTTAATTTTTTTTGTCACACGGCAGTTGCCTCTCGGCAAGGAAGCTCTGGATATTTGCACACTTCGGCCGGGCATTTGCTCCACTCACTCCCCATAGGGCTTGCTAGCAAAAAAAAATAAGAAAAGAAAAAGAAAAGAAAGAAAAGAAAACACGGGAATTCGTCCTTGGCCCAAGGCCACGTATTCCACGGGATGCTACATATAACTAGAAAAGATATTTCGGGTATGTATACATGCAAAGGTCTCTTAGAGCCCAGATTCGATAATTATAGAGTTATAGAAAGAGTCTAGACTCTGACTGATCAATGGAGTTTAGCTGTTCACAATTGTTGCCCGATCTGTAACTATAGATCATTATCTACAATCTATGTCTCACACAAACTTCTATTTTAGTTTCACTCATCTTTCTATAATTAAATATTTTGTATCTTTTTTGGTTTGCGAAGATATGGATTACAGGGCTACAATCTGTTGCTCTGCTCCCACCGCCTCTTCTCTCCAATTGAGTACCTAGGTATACACTGTTGACCGCATTGAGTGTATGCAAGTACTAATGCACACGGGGAGATGGTTGGAATAACCTTGCCCGGAATCCTGGGATGCGACCAGTCGAAAAGGGCTATCGGTGCAGGGGAGACCCCTGTGTCACATATGGGTATCAGTCGTGCTTGGGGCGTTGAATAAACATGTATTTGGACTATACTCTGTACTGGTAGTACAGAGTAATTATAGTGGACTTGTGTTGACTAGGATTAGTCTATGGATGGGATCTAGATGGCTACACACATAGGTAGTTATAGATATAGTACTCTCGATGTAAGAATGTAGAGTTCCTGGGCTGATCCAAAGGAATACCAACACTGGGATGAACTGTGGGATTTCCTGTAATTAGATTAGTTTTTTTTTATTTTTATTATAAAATCGATACCATGGAAATTGATACACCCAAGCGATGCTTTCTTTCACCATTTGCTCCACATTGTCCAACTGTAGTATTGATCATCTCCCCGGGACAAGTCTCTCCACTTGGTGACTCCTGACTGGAAATTCTATTCTGTACGAAATACATATATGGTATCAATTGATGTTCTGTACAGATAATCACTTCTACGGAGTATTCAACAGAGGAAAATAAATGTTAGGGGATATACATAGAAAAGAAAAGAAAAAAGCCGTTAAACAGACTCCGCAATCTAAAAAAAAAGGGAAGATACCCACGAGGGAAACGCCAAAGTAAAAGCCTACAAACTCCCAAGACCTCGGTTCCCGACAATTCCCCCTGAAAGTCATATAAAAAAGAATGACATTGTGGCGTATCAAGCTAAAAAAATCCCCCTAAACAGAAAGATTATGTCTCAATGTCTCACCAGAAAATGAACCCTTCACCTCATACAGAGTAGTGTATATCAGTTGAACCTCTCGTTAAAAAAAGGATCAGCCAAGACCCGCTTGCATTATCCGAAGCTCAAAGCTCAACCATGGAACACGGGCCTCTAACCCCCTGGGGCTGATACAATAGTTCCAAGGTCACACTTTTATAACAGATGTTGTATGTAACCAACTACTCCGTAGTTAGTAAGGTATTAAAATAGGGGAATACCCAAGTATATAACTAAATACAACTACATAGTTAGTTAGGTTAGTTATATCAGTTAATATAGACATCAATAATGAACCGTATTATGGGTATTTACCCCGGAAGTATGGATCCTTTTAGAGTCTAGGTACATGCAGGTTACGTTGTCAAGTACTCTCTGCATGAATAACTAGGGCTGTGAATGGCCCCCTTGAATCTCTTGACCTGACTGGGGGACTTGACACGGGCAACTCTTACCATTTTTATACAGTGGAGTATTAAGTAGACATGTTGCGCACATTTAAATAGTTATCGGGTTCTAAGTAACATTGCCACACGGTCTACGCAACCACCCGTTCTCATAGGGGGAAAAAAAGAAAAGAAAGAAGATCAAAAAAAAAATATACAAAAACAAAAAAATTTGGGAAGACAAGGAAAATATTTGGGTAGAAAAATAATACATCGAAATACAATAAAAAGAGCAAAAAGATAATCACAGAACTCCTTTTTAATACGTTGGACCTTCAAATCACCCCCAAAATTGATCTTCACTCTGAACTGCCCCTCCCTCCCGTTCCTCCCCCATTTTTATCAGCTTCCCCCCTCCCGACTACATGCGCTTAATTCTGTGCATTCCCTTTCCTGGAAATCCTGCGATCCATGCGGTGACAATTAAGGTATTAACCCGCTACAGTCCGCTGTGACTCTCTCCACAATGCCATCGTCAAGCACATCGGAGGGTGCCCCCCTCGCCGACTACTTCTGGATAGCCGGGGTGGATGGTTCAGAGATCTTGGATACCTTCCAGAGATTGGGAGAGGATTACCGTGCCAATGGTGCCGCATCCCCAGGCCCTGCGCTCGCAGACACTATTCAGGAGGACGCCGATGCGGAGGAGGAACATAACCCGGATGGGGTCTCCCGACCAAACTCGATGCTCTTCGCCGGCGCCGGTCACAGGGGCTCGGCTCAACGACTATCCACGTTCTCAAAGACCTCAGAAGGAACAAATGGTGCTGGCACTGGCAATAACAGTAACCGGAGCAGCATGACCGTCAAGGGTGGTGCCTCGCCGCCCCTGCGTGCCTCCGCCTTGTTCTCCGAGGACTTCGATTTCGACTCCGCCCTGTTCAAGTTCGCCAACGAGCGGGAATCTTTTCTAACTGACTTGAGCTTAAGCGCTGGCGCCATTACCCCGAATACCCGCCCACGATCCAGGGTTCGCACGCAGAAGATTGTCTCCGAGGATGCGCCCACGCCTGGCGGTAACTTGCTGAGGTCGGGTATTGGGAGCGTGCGACGGTCCTTTCGAGATATGAATAGTATGAAGCGACAACCATCCATTGCCCGCCAATGTGAGAACCCCTCATTCACTCGGGGACGGAATCGTGAGACTTTCTGTGGATGCACTGACTAACAATGGATTCTCTTCAGCTTCCGTGCGAACTTCTCGACGACTTAGCAACTATAACTCGGTAATCCCCGTCCCACAACCACTCGAGATCTCCCCCACAATGCACCCGTTGAAACGACGATTCGAGCCCGTTCTCCTCGACCGATACCCCACACGCGGCATGCCAGACGAGATGAAGCAGCGCGGCACTTTCCCCGACTACGTCCCTATGTTCGCCTTTCCGAATGATGTCAACATCGTCTCTTCCGATCAGCGACCGCGCTCTACCTGGCACGGATTCGCCATGACAACAGACAATGGCTCTAGGCTACACGCTATCTGTGTGCTTATCTGGATACCGCTCAACCAAAATGCCGCGGAGGAGCTTGAGAAACGCTGCGAAGAATGGCGAAAGGACAACATGACAGACGAGGAGCGTGAGCTGGCTGCAAGCTTGGGCGAACGATTGGCATCAGAGCGGGCCAAGTTATCCCGGCTTCTAGCCCAGCTTCCGACTGTCCCGTCAGGATCTGAATCCCGCGAACAGCTCGAAGATGATATCAGCGCCGTGGAGGAGAAGATTGGGCTGATGACCGATCTCCTCCGTCCGGTCCGACACGGCGCAGCCTCCAAGATCGAGGGTCTGACCGATGGTGATACTGGGTTCTGGATTCCACGTGCGTACGGTATCTTGGGTCGGGAGAGCACGATGACGAGCTTCTGGAAAGAATGGCTCAAGGCTGTCGTCGTGCCCATGACGGAGGGTAGTGTACAGCATGTGCCTCCGCCCTCGCCGCGCATGGGTTTATGGCAACCGCTGGAGCGATATGTCATGAATCTCTGTACAGAAGCGTTCTGTCCAATATCCTCGAAGACCCAGGTCGAGATTTCGATCCGTGAGCTGCGATTGTTCGCACGTAAAGAGGCGCCCAATGAGATCCCCGGTTCTCGCAATGTAAGTGCACCACTATCTTGATTGAGTTCTCTTTTCGAATCTTTTGCTGACTGATTTCTAGACCGATCTCTATGCCTTGTTCCGGACTTTGTCGGTACCCAATATTATCATTCTCTTTGAGGTAGGCTTCCTTTGCCAGTTCAGTTGATTCGAGACGATGCTAATAATACACAGTACGCTCTTACTGAATCCCGTATCATCTTCTTGTCTTCCCACACCTCCATGCTCTATCTCGCGACTAGAGCGTTGGTGGATCTTCTGTTCCCTCTAGAATGGACAGGCGTTCTCATTCCTGTCCTTCCTGCGCGCTTAATTCAGGCTCTCGAGGCCCCTTGCCCATACATCGTGGGTATCGAACGTCGGTACGAGAAGGTGGAGCTGCCCACGGACGACTTTGTCCTGGTTGATCTGGACAATAATATGATCGAAAGCACCATTCAACCGACCTCTCTTCCACGTCATCAGCGCAGGAAGCTCCTCTCCTTGCTGCAACTGGCTGCCCCTCAACACGGTCGATACCACGTCCCCACCGGGCCTCCTGCATATGCAATTGAGACATACCCATGGGACTCGTTCATGTCAGAGAGCAAGGCCAGCTTCACATCCAAGGCGCCTGCAACTAACCTCGCGAAATATGTCAGTCTCAACTCCAGTGCATTCGGTGCAACATCCGTGATGCCAGGCTCCTACACACCTCCGATTTTCAACGTCTTCCTGCACGCCCGAAATGAGGGCGGTCCATCTCGTGGGTACTCA